ATAGCAGATAATATCCACAAAGCAAAAGTCACCACGACCTCTGGCATTCTTCATTTAAGAATTTAACTCAACAGATATTTATATCGAATTTGTTGGAAGTTGTTTTTCAATCATTATAAAAGCTAAATTATTTTTTTTTACATATTTGGAAGGATTATATCCTGTCTCATTTACTTGACATATACTACTTAAAAGGCCTATTTTCTGTTACTACTTAAATGTTAAAAATACAAATATTTACCTTTAACAGAACCCAGAAACTAAAATTACCAAGAAAAGGGGGGGAAAGTAATTTTTTTTCTTTTTTTCTTTTTTTTGCTTTTTGGTGGGGCAATCGGAGTTAAGTGACTTGCCCAGGGTCACACAGCTAGTAAGTGTCAAGTGTCTCTATCCACTGTACCACCTAGTTGCCCCTAGGAAGTAAATTCAAATGAGAAAAAAACCCAGAAAATCTTGATTTCCTGAAATAATAAACCAGAACTCTGTCAGACTAGGATGAAGATAAAGTTGTCTAAACTCGCTATGGCAAATTTTCTCTCTCTGATTTTCAAGACCACAAAATTGTGTTGTTTTTAAAAATCAGAAGTTATTTATATCTTATTAGATGTCAGAAAAAAAAAGTATTTTGTCCTAAGAACTCCTATTTGTCATGGTGTGCCTGGCCTTTCCTATGTTTAACAAATGGTAGGAAAAGTCGAGTCTTGTGTCTCTTCTTGACCCTGTAGATTTCTCTTATGAATTGCTTGCACAGTAAAAGATTTTGGTAGTCTGTTCTCTGACAGGTGGACAAATCAAACATGGAAACAACTCACATTCATACTTTGGGAAATCATCTAAATCATGTCACTCCCATGTTTATTCTTAAATCTAGGTCAAAGGTACAGCAACATGTGTTTACTTGACTAAAACACCAAAAGAAAAGAAAGCAAATGAATATGACTTTTATGTTATAGCATTCTCCCCAATTAGAATAAAATAGTAGTTTCTTTAAGTGAGGATTTACTATTATCTTTGCTCCGAGTTTCCCACTGCTTATAGTGACTACTTTCCTTTTGAGTTAAAATGGAGATGTTCAATGTAGTCTACAGTTCTTCATGAGGCAGACTTGATTAGCTGTGTTCTCATTCCCTGGTTTCGTCGCTTCGTAACATGTTTATTAACAGAGCCTCAGCCACTATAAGGACTTACCTCCTCTTCACCTTCAACACTGTTTTTATTCCACACTTAGGATTCTGCACCACCATCCTCAATAAATAATAAAGCCATAAGGATCAAAAGAAGTAAACCATAATAACAATAATAATAATAATAATAATAATAATAGCGAGTGCTAGCATGGCCTAGTCGGCAAAAGGCCAGAACTGAAATCAGGAGGCACTTGGTGCAAGTCTTACCTCTTATAAATACTGGTTGTGTGACCCTGGGCAAGTTATTTTACCCTTCAGTGCCTCCAAGCAATTGTCTGAGACTATAAATTACAGATGAGTTGCTGACCTGAACTGGTTGAAAGAATCCCCAACTAGATCCAGACCAAAACAAAACAAAAAATAAAGATTATAATAACATATTTAATACACTTCTTTTAATTATAAAGAACATGCATACATTATTTAATTCCAGTCAGTATTTATTGAGAACCCACTATGTGCCAGGTGATGTGCTAGGCCTGAGAATCAAAAAGGGAATGGAAAGGAGGGATTAAGCATTTATATAATGCCTTCTTACTATGTTGCAGGCACTGTGCTAAGTGCTTTCAAAAGACAAAATTAAATAGCACCCACCCTCAAGAGGCTTACCCTCTGATAGGAAGACAACATGTATACATACACATCTATATAATATATATTCATATATGCAGTACATCTATAAGGTCATTTGATGGGAGTAAAGAGTGAATAATGCCAGTATGATAATGAGGAAAGATCTGCAATAGGAAGTCATGTATGAGCTGAGCTTTTGAAGGAATTCTAAGAGAAAGGAGTGAGGAGCTAGGAATTCATTCCAATCTTGGGGAACAGTTGGTAGAAAGGTATGGAAATAGCACATTTGTGTCTAGAAAAGCAAGATAAACAGGTTGGCTGTTCTGTAGAGTTCATGAAGGTAAGTAATATGTAATAAACCTTTAAAGGTAAGATAGAACCAGATGGTAAATGACTTTGTAAAATGCCAGAAGAGTTTTTAATTGATCTATAGAGCAGTAGGCAGCCCTAGAGCTTGCTGAGCGGGGGAGTGGACAATGCTTTAGGAATATAATTTTGCAAGCTGTATGAGGATATACCTATGAATGGATAGAAGGTGATAGCTACAGGAGTTATTGTGGAGGTAGTATCAATGAGACTTGACAGTTGATTGGACATATAAAGGGAATGAGAGTGAAGAATTGAGGATGCTTGGGTGATTGGTTGTATGGTGGTGCCCTGGACAAAAATAGGAAAGGTTAGAAGAAACACTTGCTTTAAAAAGAAATATAATACATTTTTGTTTGTTTTTATTTTTGTTTGTTTTTTTTTTCTACAATGTAGGTTTGAGAGACTTAAGGGATGTGTATTTTGAAAGGCTTAGTAAGAAAGTGGTTATACAGAAATAGATAGAGCACAGGAGAGAGATCTGGGCTGTTTATACAGGTCTTCCTGTTGTTTGTATAGAGATAGTAAAGGAACCCATAGGAACTGATGAGGCTAATAAGAGATTGTCAAGAGAAAAGAGAAGACAAAGCTTTAGCATATACCCACAGTTTTGGAGATGAAACATGGAAGGAAAATCCATAAAGAAATGCAAAGGGGCAGTTAGATTAGGGGAGAACCAAGAAAGAGATGTGTTAAAGAAGAGAGTGGTCCACAGTGTCAGATGTTGTAAAGGAGTCAAGAAAGATGAAGATCCATAAAAGGCCATTGAATTTTGTGATTAGAGACCATTGGCAGCTTTGGAAAGAGCAGTTTGACTTGAATGATGAAAATGGAAATCTGCCTACAAAGGTGTGAGAAGTGGATGAGAGGAGAGAAAATGAAGGCAAGGAATAGAGATGACTTTGCCCTGTGTGATAAATATTAATATCTCAGATTTGAAAATAGAGGAAATGAGGCTCAAGAAAGTTTAACAATCTGTCCAGAGTATCACTGTAAGTGGCTTAGCCTGAAGAGATTCGGGTATTTTAACTGCAAATTCAATGTTCATTTGATCCAGCTGTCTCAAACGAGACCTCTACCTGGGTTATATGCCACACAAGTTGCTATCTGTCCTGTTAAAACATATCTATCCAGCCATGCATGGTGTTGCATGCCTATAATCCCTGCCCCTGGGATGGCTGGGACTGGGGATCACTGGAGCTTGTGACTTCTGAACTGCATTTGGCTAAGCCAAGCACTGCCTGGCACAGTGGTAAACCAACGGGAGCAAGGAAACAGCAGGCTCCCCAAAGATGGTTGAACTGACCTGGGTCAGAAACAGAACAGGTCAAAGCTCCGATGCAGATCAGTGGAGGGGTCAGGCCTGCAAGTGGCTGCTACACCTCCAACATGGAAAAGATAGGGAGACCCAGTTTCAAAAAAAAAGCGAGGGGACGCATTCTTGTACCAAAGGAAGCATAGTTCATCTGCCTCCTTCTAACAGCTAACAGTTCCAGGAAAGCAATGTAAACTTCAGCAGAGTCTCTTTAAATATAAAGAACATCAAAGACATTCCAGTCCAATCTGTAACTGAAATACAATCTGCCCTACTTCCTCTCAACAAATCCTAGAATCATAGTTGCAGAGTTGGAAGACACTTCAGAAGTCATCTTGTCCAATCTCCTTATTTTAAAGATGAGGAATCCGAGACCCCACAAAGTTAAGTGAAAGGTCCTGTGTGGCAAAGTCAAGATTTGCTAAGCATGGTTCAGTATGAAGAGCATCAGCTTTGGAGTCAGAATACTTTGCTTCAAATCCTGTGTGACCTTGTGCAAGTCATTCGATGTTTCCAGATCTCACTTTTTTTCATCTGCAAAATAAGAGGGTTGGTTCAGATGGCCTCAAGCATCCCTTCTAGCTCTAAATCAGTAATCCTATGATTACTTGATTCCAAATCCATAACTGTTTCCACTTTACCTGAAGACCTCCAGTAATAGAAATACATACTCTTCCAAGGCAGCCCATTTCACTTTGGGATGCCTTTGATTATTAGATAGTTTTTCCCTTTTATCAATTTCTTCTAGCTGTGTTATTGGTCAGTCATATCCAACTCTTGGGGTTTTCTTGGCAAAGATACTGGAGTAGTTTGCTATTTTCATCTCCAACTTATTTTACAGATGAGGAAAATGAGACAAACAGAGTTAAGTGACTTGCCCATGGTCACACAGCTAGAAAGTGTCTGAAGCTAGATTTGAACTCACAAAGATGAGTTTTCCTGACTCCAGGACCAGTACACTATCCACTGCACCACCTAATTATAGGTCCTTGTCTATCCTTTGGGACCAAGGAGAACAACTGTAAACTCCTTTCTATATGATAGCATTTAAAATACTTGAAGATTGCCCTCATATAACCCAACCTCAGCATACACATACACATGCATGCATACACACACTCATCTCTTCCCCAAGCCAAACATCTTCAGATGCTAAAAATACAAAGTATACACACTTAAATGTCTGAACAAGGCTCTGAACTGTTATTTGTATAGGGCTTTTAATTGTGCAAACAACTTTCATTTGTATTACCTCATTTTACATTCCATTTCTGTTAGTCAGTCACTACCTGTACCTGTAGTATTAAATTACACTGATGAAGAGATTGAAAAGTTGACAGCTACAGATGAAGAAAAATAGCTATTCTTTTGCCAAAATGAGGTAATTAACTGGAATTGATTTGCAGCATGGGAGGATGCTATTAAGAGTTAAGATCCCCATCATTTAGTTGACCCTTCAGTATTTCTGCTTGAAGTCTATGCATGGGAATTGACTTGCTTCTTTTTTTTCCGTCTTCCTCATCCTTTTTTTTCTCTTCCTACTTCCAATAAATCCACAGGTCAGTCCAACCCCAGGGTGCATCCGAGCACTAATGAAGATGCTGTACTGCCCATATTGTCGAGGACTTCCCACTGTGAAACCTTGTAACAACTACTGCCTCAATGTAATGAAGGGATGCTTGGCAAATCAGGCTGATCTCGACACAGAATGGAATCTCTTTATAGGTAAGAAGCATTTAAATGGCACATGGAACAAAGGTGATAACAGTTAAGTGTTCGATAACTCATTTTTGGTGATTTAGGAGGAGAGAAAGGTTTATTGGAGATAATGGATTTTTTTTCCTTTCTTCATCTCTTATAATACTAACTTACCAGCGTTTAAAAAGGATTACTATTCTTCCATGTGAAAATTCTTATTTATCACATAAAGATTTTACTGAACAACTGTATTGAATTAGCTGTTTTTTTTATGAAGGCTGTGAAAATATTCTTGTTGAGCTAGTGGACTTATGTGAGGAGAGGATGCGTCAAAAAAAAATCTGGTTTTTTTCTTCTGCTCATAGAAATGTCACCTACGGTAATGTGTGTATCTCTCTTTTTTATACCTCAGGATAGTCATGGGTATTAGAAATGGTATACTGTAGAGAACATAAGCTGATTCATATACCATAAACTGAGTTGATGAAAAGGGCTCCATATTTTTACTAAAACTTGAAAAGTGTCTTTCTTTAATTTGTTGAAGGAAACAGAGTATACTTGCATTAAATATATTTAGACTCTCTGAAAGGCAGTAGGAAAAGAGTGTGTGTGTGTGTGTGTGTGTGTGTGTGTGTGTGTGTGTATGTGTGATGGAAAAGGGGAGGACAGGAAGAAGGAGGGCATGTGGAGGAAGGATTGTGAATCACAGCCTTTCCTTGAGTCACAGAAATCATTTAGTGAGATGTGCTGCCAAAAGATATTTCCCAAACAGCCATCCAAGGATAAAAGGACAAATTTTATAGGCAGACTTCTCCCAGCAAAATGCACAGGGCCTTGAAAGAGTAAATGTGTTTTCTTCCCTTCTGTCAAATGGCCTTCAAATAAAAGTATTTCCAATTGCATTTATTGCAATTACATGGTGACAAGTGGAGTGGTGCAAATAATAGTGGCATATTTTAGCCATTAATGTCCTTCATCATTTATGCAAACCTCTACACCAAAATGCATGTGATTCAGTGTGAGTTAAATCAGTTAAATGGAGGTGCTCTGAAGAAATATTTCCAAGATTCAGATAGAAGAGGAAAAAATTTATATGAGTTAGCATCTGGGGGGAAAAAATGCCCCAAATATGACTAGAGAAGCTTTCCTGACAGTCATTCAGTACTGTATGTGGTCTATTGATTACCACACATCTGTTTCTAAAAAAGCTAGGGGAAATAATTTTGAGTTCTGAAAAATGAGAGCTTTAAAATGTTTAACTGGCAATCACTTCCTACTAAAATCACAGAAATTATTTGGACAAAGCAAAAGGTATGATTTTAAAGATTCGATGTCCTTTTCTTCCTCCTATCCCAAATCTCCCAACCTGAAGCCATGACTAAAATTTACCCAGTAAATTTACCAAAATTTACATAGCAATGCGGACCTATGGACTTGTAAATATGTGAGAATGACAACAAAAAGAAATCCAGTGAGGGCCATACTCACATACACCTTCCTCACAGTCATAATGCCTTTCAGAGGTGAGTGAGTGTTATTCCTTTTATTCACTAGATGTGTGTGACCTTCGGCAAAGTCAGGTCATCCCTTAGTTTTCTCTTAGTTTTCTCATCCATCAAATGACAAGAGTCCAGCTAACTCTAAAATTCATAATTCTATTAAGATCTTCAGTATCCTGACACATGGATAAAGTGATACAATAGAGAGACATATACTACTTTAGGGTTTTCAAAATGCTTTCTCCAAAATTAACTCATTTAATCTCATAAGGAAACAAGGTATTTATTATTATTCCCACCTAAAAAATAAGGAAACTGGGGCCTAGAGAGGTGGTTATTTGCCTAAGTTCACATGACTAATAATCGGTGGGAGAGCTGAGATTTTGTCTCAGGTGTTGTGGTTTCTATTCTACTGGTCCTTTCACTCTACCATGATGCCTCATAATGAGAAATAGGAATGATGAGAATTAGGGTCAACTTTATAGGCAGGGGTAGGCTGGAGCCATTTTGAATCAAGAAAGCTGATTGTTACATTTTCATTGTGGGTATTTTGGCAAATGCTACAAATCAGGGCTTGACTTATGGTTTAGTTGATTGTCTAAGAAAGTGATGGAGAAAATGTTAATAAAACAGATTTAACTTAAAAGTGTGCCATGTGTATGTATGTGTGTGTGTGTGCTTCCCCCCCGCCCCCCTCCCCCCCAAGAGAGCTGGGTGGTTAAACATTTACTAGCACACCCTTTCTTGTAGCCCTCAGACTTAAGTAGAACGGCTTTGATTAGTAGAAAAAAAACGAATAATAACCTTTCTTTAATGAACCTACTTTACATCTGCCTTTAACCAGGTTAAATTCCATTGATTTATTTTTGAGTCAGATAATCATATCCCTACACTTCACCTGAAATGAATAAGACATAGTAAGGTGACGTGATTTTCCTCAGATTGCCCCAAAACCCATTGTTGGAAGTGGGAAAAGCCCTGAAATCTACAGACAAAGTTCTGTTGGTGATATCACACAGGGCCTTGGTTAAGGACTTGATGGAAGAATGAAAAAAATGGGCTCTTTTACCTTGATGTCACAGTGATTGAACTTTTCCTGGGTTTGATTAACCAGCCGTCAGTCCCAAGTTCTTAATCTCTCCATTAACTGTTTCCTAGATGCATATTTTATTAGAAATAAAATGCCTTCTGAGTCTTTTACCTTAATAATGAAATCTTGAAAATACTATATTTGCTTTATAGAGAAATGATGAGTAGGTAGTATAGGTAAGCAATCATACTTCTCTCCTGTGTGCCATTTTTTGAGTGTCTTAATCCTACTTTAATGCACTTTGACATCCTCTCTTCCCCTCCCTATCCTTTCTTGTTAGTCCCTAGATGTTTCTGATCAGAAACTTGCAATTTTTCAGTTCTACTGTGGCCTTGAGAGATGATCACAAACACAGAACTATTATATTGTGGCAAGATTTACTTTTGCCATACTCTTCCAGGTGTAAAGTGCTAGTTCATTAATTCGCTACAAAAATTAGTCAAATATGCCAACCCCATTTTACACAGATATAGTCAAGGATGACAAGGAAAATGTGCAATTGAAAAGATCAGAGTGTGAATTTGTAATTCTACACTGATTATATATAATAGCCCAGCCTTTGGTCAACACCTGCAACATGTCACCATTTTCAGGCCTGCCTCTTTGTCTCACAGAATACTTCAGTCAGACAGACCCACTCCTGTTGCTGATTATCATGCATGCCAACTATGTCTGCTATAGTAATATCCCAGTTTATACACTTTACATTTATAAAAATTATGTGCTCATCCAGAATGTTAACAATGGCAGGCAGTAATGTGTTCAATAAAATCAATGATCCAATTGACAGAACATCCTCATATTCTTTGCAATGCCCTGAATAAATTGAGGCTAATTTGGAACCATTTAGAATTCAGTTAGTTTCTTGAACTTGTCAGAAAAAAAGATAATTCATTTACAAAGTGAAATGTTTTAAATGTTTCAGTGTTCTACAGCCCAGCTGTGTTCCATTTCCATTGGTGTTCTACACTCTTTTCTCAGCGTGAACTTGGGATTTTATCCTAGAGAAATTCATATTTCTACTGGCAAGCCTTAGAAGGTGTTTTCCTCAGGCTTCTGCCAGTAGGCCAAAAACAGTGGTCTCTACAGAGTGGGTGCTCAAATAACCCTTGTTCATCAAACATTACAAGGAAAAAAGCACAACTCTTTACTTCAAAAAAACAGAAAAAAAAGAAGAAAAAGTCCTCCTTTTATAAAGCTGCTGACAGCTCTGCTGAAGATGAAATTTAGCCTCTTGTTTTTCAGGGCTTGTAAAGCCTCAAGTTGCCTCTGCCAGAAACTGTCAGCTGCTTTCTAATAACATGTGGAATTCCCTCAGTACTAAACACAACTAAACTTCTACTTGCTGAATTAAAACGAATGGCAACCCTCCACGGAAGCACTGCTTAGCTACAAAAGACTGGAAGGAATGCATGAGTGCTTTTTAGTCCTGTTCTCAGTATTAGAAAATAGGCACTAGGGGAAAAAAATAATAATTTTTTGCATTAACAGTCTCTGCTTAGACGGACATCCCAAGTGCCAGGGTATGGCCATGCACAAAAGATTCCAGCTTGGCTCCTGAACGTCATCTGAATGTTAGAAGAGCTTTTTTTGTGAATGTTTACATTAAAATAAAACTGCTCTGAGCTTTTAAGGAACTAACTGGGAAAATTTTGTGGGCAGAAGTAGTTGTTTCAGGAACATCGTGTGGCTATTTGGATTGTTTGGCATTGACACCTCAACTCTCCCGATAAGAATTGTTCTATTCGACAAGAGGTCGAGTTGCAGATTACCCCTAGTTCATAAACACAAAAGTCAAGGCTGAAATTACATTTATATAGCTATAATAAATCTTGCATTCACTTTAAAAACTGGGACGTGTACAACAGCGTCCGCCAAACATCTGGTACCTTCTAAGATTTTATAGACTGTGAAAATTGGTTTAAAAAAAAGAGAAAAGGAAGAGGCAGCTGTAGCAACACCAAGCAGAGATTTTACCCATTTGTATCTGATTTGTATCATTTTAAACAATACTCTTCTATGATGTTACACATAGTGACTATAATTTTTAACTGTAAAATTTTCCATTTCTGTTGGATAAAAACATGTAGAAGAGAGATAAGTTATGTGTACCTTAAAGTTTCATTTTCACTTTCCTTTTATGGTGGATAGTAGCCTTTTCATATAGAAAAATTTTAAATGGCATGCATGATAAGGTTTCAAGACTCTTGAGAATGGTGGTGGTACTGGCAGACCTGGGAAATTTTTCATTTAAAAGGATTAAACACCCATTTGTAAGAGTGTATGCCAAATGCTATAAAGAAAATTATTGATATGATTTCTGCTCTTCAGTGGCTCATAATTTGATATACAAACAAAGGAATAGTAAACACTGAACAAGTGTATAAGCATATTTCATAAGTCGCTTTTTTTTTCCTTTTTTTAATCTGGAACTGTGA